GCTTAAGTCGTTTTTCACCATTTAGAAGAGGAATAGCCTAAAGGAATAAATTTTAAAGGTGTATGTGTAAATACACATAACTGCACTCAGTCTCATGCATGCACTCACAGACTCTCTCCTGGTGAAAGAGATAGCTACTAACACCCAATAAAAGAGAAATTCTGAAAAATGAGAACTGAAACAAGTAAGAAAAAATACTTTCTTCTACCACATAGTCTGAGATTTTATTTCATGAAGGAAAGGTAGTGTGATGATTTTTCTTCCCCCCCTACGGATGCATCTTAAAATAATTTTGGATAAGCAGCACAGCTGCACTGTGAAGTACAGAGGATCTAATTAGGTTTTATTTGAAATGTCTGTAAATTCATGGCTAGGGTTCATTAAAGGAAGTCAACAGCATCTTTGGTTTGAGAAACCACATGGTGACCAATACTTTTTATCTTCTCTCCCTCCATCCCATTCCTGTCAAGCATTGCGGAATTTTTTTTTTTTGTCTGTTGTTTAACACCTCCCTGAGGCTGCGAAGAACATAGAGAGGTTATTTCCAACAGTGGTATTCTTTACACAAAGAGAGGTCTTGCCTCTGCTCCTCTTTATCATAACTTTTACATAAGTTGTTGCCTGGTAATGTGGATGAACATTCATTTATCCTCTAATCCACTTTTTGATTGACTATTGGAAGTGTTCATGGTAAGGCAACAGGCTGGTGCTAATGTTTACTTTTACTTCTTATTGCCAGTATTTCAACTGTGGATTCTTCTGGGAAGTTTCTTTGAGCTCAGCTACAGGAGGTGGTCATGGTAGCACTGTCAGCCATTTATACATCTTTATTTGGTTGATAGGTTGGGAACTTCCCACTTGGATGTGTAACAGGACTCTGTTAGCTGTGACATCTTGTGATGCTTGGCAGTGTTTCATGCAAAGAGATTAGTGAAGGTTTTTGCTGGTGCAGACAACTTCAGAAACACTTAAAAACTGAAGTTAATGCACAGGGTAACTCTCCATGTGTTTCCAGAAGCTCAGGCCTTAAAGGGGCAGAGGCAGATCTCCACCAAAATCATGGGAGGTGAGATGGCTCTGTCTGAGCTACTCCAAATTAAATCAGTTACATCTGAGATCAGTTTTAAAGGTGGTGGAGTAAATGGGAAATTAAACAATGGGCATTTGACAATGTGGTAACTTTTTTTTTGCATATCAGGTCTCTAAAGCTACTGTATAGACTTCTGTTTTGTGTTAGAGGCTGTAAGGCCACAAGAACTGCATCAAGGAAGCCATGCTGACAGAGAAAGTGAAATGCAAGGACAAAGGAGGACTTCCTCTATTGTCTAGGCAGTGGAGAAAACTCCTTGATATCCCCCTTATCAGATAAGAGCCAGCAGCAAGTTTTTTATATACGTCACTGCTCTCTTGTGGCTTAGGAACACGCTGAGTCAAACAACGACAGCCTCTCTCACATTGTCGCCGGCCCGGCCCCGCAGGGATGGCTGGAAAGAGGAAATGTGAGAAACCTCCCGGGCCAGCCCCGCCAGGCCGAGCCCTCCTCTTTCCTCTTCGCGATGGTGCCACCCAAGAGCTGCGTGACTTCGACCCCGAAAGCCCGGTTCCCCCACCCACATTTGCCTTCACAGGAGAGCTAAATGGAGGCTTTTCCCATGGCTTAGTCATTGCTATGGCTCAGCCAAAAGAGTCTGTAATATACAGGGCTGCTTTCAAAGAATTTTTATAACTTAGGTTTGTCAAATTTCATGTATGTACTGTCCGTGACGTGGGGGATTGTAGGAGACAAGGGGAGAGAGTTATGCTGTAAAATGGGAGACTAGGAAGAATATTCCTGTAAAACAGATTTAGAAAAACTGGTCTTCAAAATATTTCTGATAGCTTTGCAAGACAGTTCTACCCTCTTGTAATCTTATTTTCCTATTATAAGCTTCGGTATAATTCTTTGGTCTTTTAACTCTGTTTTGTATTTGTAAAGAGAAAACCTAACCTGGGAAAAAAATGTACTCTTAACTTGTATTTCTATTAAAAAATGAGAGTAAATATAACTCTGCATGTGGAGACGCAGACACTAAAATATTAATAGGCAGCAATATAAAACCATTTACATTCTCCATAACATTCCATTCTCCAAACCATTACATTCTCCATTCTCTGTGTTCCTCCAGGGCTAACTTGTAGCCTATTTCTTTCCAGTAAGGCTTCTTTGGCACATAGTTTGATATATTTGTGTCCTTACCAACTACTAATCACAAACTGTACTGTGGAAACATCCTGTCAACACCTCGAGCCTCAGACAAGCTTAGACCCACCCTGCCCAGAGCCAGATATTCAGAACTGTCCTCTTGTGGGCACATGCTTCTAAGTCTCCTTTAGTGCTGGGAGCAGCCTCCCACCTCCTGGCTCACGACTTTCTCTGCATGTAGGATGGAAGAAGCCTCACTGTGTGACCAAGTGAGCTCTTCTGCCACTGCACTGAGCCATATCATGCAGTTCCTTTCACATCTCAGCTAAAAACTCCTGCATAAGGCCTGAACAGTTTGATCTCTGTTAACTAAGAGCTTAGAGCTGTGCCTGAGCTGTGTTCCAGCTTTCATAGAGAGCTTCATTCTTCTTTACAGTCATGCTCATAATCTTTCCTCACTGCCAGAGGACAACCACGTTCAGAAGACAAGGCAGCAGCTGACAGGATGTTTGGCTACCACAGTTCTCTTAAAATGTTGAGGGCAGAAAGGAGTTGTTCATCTGAAAGCCACAGATGAGAAGAGGTTGGGGCAAGTCATTGCTCCTGCTCTGTGTGGTAGCCAGGACTTCTGCTGCTCAGGGGTTTGATGCGTGGCAGGTCTGCAGCTCTCCTTGTGAAGGATGGCTCACAGAGCACCACCTTTCTACCACAGGAGTGTTGTCTGTTTCCCAACATTCCCAGCACAGTTCCCAATGATTCTAGTAAGAGACAAGCCTATGGTGTGAAAAGCAGGGATGTGCTAATGCTGAAACCCAACAGTGTGTGTCATGTTCATCCCAAATGTTGGACAAGAAAAATGGGAAAAGATACATGCAGGTGTTGGACAGTGAATGGAGGATGCAGAATGGAACAATGCTTCCTTTGCTCATTTACTATTCTTAATGAATAGAAGGAGCAGAAGTCAGGAGAGACTGACACACTTCTGTGTTCCAATACCAGTAGCATAAAACAACCTCCGAACTGTTACAGGCGTAAGATGTGTGTGGTGCACGGTCTGGTACACAGCTAACTATTCCACTGGCAGCTGGGGCTCCCTGGATCCTGTTATGCCTTGCATGGTGGTCAGCATGACACTACAGTCTTGATAACTGGATTCAATGTTTGATGTTAGAGATTCCTTTGGCAGTCACCCCCAGGGTTTGGTGAGGCTTCTGAGCTGGTGTGGGATCTCCACAGCAGTGCAGTTGTTCCTCTGTACCCAGCCTAAAGCTAAAGGGCACAGCCACTGAGGGGTTATGGCCCCTTTTCCCTCTCCAGCAGATCTGCTCTGATTTGGCTTTTGTAATACTTTTTACATAAAGTTATCTTCAACATAAAATGCAATTTTCTCCTTTTTATTGTGGTTATTATTGGTAGAAGCAGATGACTGGATACCACTTATTTCTGACTAGTTCTGCTTTCTGGTTTTCAGGTACTGCCAAAATACTGCAGATTGTCCCTTCCTTCTTCTATGTATATGTGTTTACTGTTTCTACTCAGTTTCTAATATAATTATTTTTAACGATGACGTTGATTCCAAATCCTATGAACTCAGTCACATTTTTCTCCTGCCCTTTCTTTTGTGTCTTCCCAGGGACAGTGTCACATCTCATGGTGCTGGGGCACCTCTGGCACAGCAAGAAGCAGTGAGGACAGAGGAGCAGTGTGACATTGCACGGGAGGATGCGGTCTGCCTCCCTCTAGAGTGCCTCCAAGTCCTTGCTTGCACACCAACTCCTCAGCCTGCCCTGAGCACCACCACTGTTTGTGCTGCAGACCACTGGATCAGCCTCCAGACGTGCTGTACTTCAGTCCCTGCAGCAGAGGGGAGGCTTTGGTGTCACACTGCATAGCTGAAGTGAAGGCTGAGGCAGAAGCTCCGTCTGCAGTTCTCAGGGAGTACAAATCCAGCTGCTTTCTTCAGCAGCAAAGCCATTTAAAGAAATTTCTACTTCAGGTCACTGCTACTCTCTGTCACAGTTTTTCACAATCTGAGGAGCCTCTGTTACCAGGGCCTTGGGTCAATACAGTAAAATCCTTCTTGCAAAGGCCTTGAGACTTTGTTTGTTTAGCTTTGTTTTAGTTGCAATCACTTCACTATAAACCCTATTTTCCCCTTAGCACACTTGACAAATTTGCAAATAGAAATGAGTTGCCAGAAGCCTGAAACTCCCCTCCTACTGGCTTTACTATTGAACACAACTGTGATCTGCTATGCAACAAGTGCCTCCTTAGCACATGAGGCTGAGGGGGCCAGTGGCTCCCACTCAGCAGCATCATTCCAGGAACACCAATTTGGTGCCAGGGCAGACAGTATTTAATTATTCTGGCAGAATTATTTTATGGAAGAGTGTTTAGGAGAATCTTAACTCTGCACATTTAGGACTCTTGAAGGTATGTTGGATTTGTTGTTGCTTTTCAGGTAGTTATATCAATAAAAGCCCTAATGCAGAAGTAGCTACACTAGAATTCTATTGAATGGCAATACTCTTCTGTTTCTCATATATTAATTGCTCTGGTGATGAAATGCACTTAGTTATAACTTTTAACTTCATAAATAGATCTGCTGTTTAATTGTTTACAGGAGGTTGAAGGATGCTGAGGTGACTAGCTCATGCTATCCTTAACAGATAAGTTAGTAACATTGTAAAAACAGTCTTTCGTGCTTTTTCTTTTTTTCCAGATGTCTCTTTGTCTGTACATGGCTGTATCTAATGCAGGGATGTGTGTTGCTGTGCCTGCAGATGGATCTGTTATGTGCACACACATACAGCTTTGAGAAGCTATATAGCAGAGTTGTTTGCATAATGAGTTTCATTTCTCTTCACAGGTCAGCACCTTTAGCGAACCTTGGAAAAACTATTGTGTGAGCAGTCAGCACACCAGGGCAGCAGCACCCGGTGGGTAGAGCTTGTCTTGGATAAAAAGCTGAATGCTGTGGTTTCACTGACTTGTCGTTGAAACCTTGTGGTTTCTGTGTAGGAGGCTGTATAGGCTGGACACATTCGACATCCTTGTTTCTGAGCTGTGAAATCTGTACATCTAATTTATGAAAATTATCTCTGGTTCAATTTTATTCTTTTTGTTTTAATGAAGTCAACATATTTTCCTTGCATTCAGTAGAAACGGTAATGGAAATGTTGTAAGATGCATTGTGAGCATTTTTGACCTCAAAAAGCGAGACAAGTCAAGATATTATTGGTTATGATTAAGGTCTAGGAAGGAAATTTTAAATAAAATACAGAGAGCCAGATGTGAGAGGAAAGCATTTTCTCAAATATGGAGACAAATAGAGTAAGTAACTGTAGGAAATGACAGAGGAATTAAAAAATAAAAGTCTTCCATCTGAGAATTTGATTTTGTTAAACCCCAAACACCTTAGTAAGATAATTTAGAATAAACTATTGTGCTGGTACCATTTAAGGTAACCAGCAGTATCTCTAGTCTGAAAAGGTGGTCCAAATAAATAAATTTTTAAACTCCAAGACTAAAGAATCTAAATGTAAGACAGAGAGAGGGAGCTGCAGCAGAAGCAGTAGCAATTCCAACAAAACCTAATGGGACAGTTGATCACTTGGGTGTTTTTCCTTCTGTAGTTGAGTTCCACACTGCATTCAGTGAACTGATTCTCAGGATGACAGAATCATCACTTAACTGGAGCCAGGAGAGCCATGGATTCACCTGTATGAGCCTTTACTCCTTCCCTCACTCTCCTCCCTTCTGCTCTGGTGAGTGCCTCCCATCCTGTAACTCCCCAGAAAGCTGAGCTGCAGCAATACAGGACACCTGAACCTCTAATATTGGCAAATCCCATTCCCTTCACCATTGGCAGCAGTGACTGCCCAAACTTTGAGTTTTTACCAACAACAGTTTTGCCTCTTCAGGCAAATTCCCAGAAGCATGTACACCATTCCCTCTGAGGGAACCTGTGGGAATGAATTAAAAATGAGCAAAGACCTCTGGATTGAAAACAAAGGAGAAGAGAAATAACATTCAAGTTAATAAAACAAAGTTTCTTGCTGAAATGTAAGTGAAATTACTATTTGTGTGAAAAAAAAAACTACTCAGTGTGTTTGTGGGAGTACCAAAATCTGTCTGAAAACATTAGTCAAAGCATTCTTTGTGAATAAAGATTGAAAGTGTGATCACCCACTTAGCTATTTCAGGGGGATGACTGCAAGATTCATCTTAATAATTTTCAGTAATTTCCATATCAAAACATCAATAGAAGACCATAGATTTTAATTCCTCATTACTATCTTATTGGTCCATCCTGGAGACTTGTTCCTTTTCAAGGAAAAAAAAAAATTAATAGTGTTACTCTAACACTTTTAATTAAAAAATTGTATTTTTGACTGGAAAATTAAGGTGTCTTGTCCTGCTTGTGTTTTCTTTTCATAAATCTGAGACAGTAAATATGATATCTGCATCTGTCAATGAATATACAAGAAAATAGTAAAACTGATCTCTAAAAGTACTCTTCTGGTCAAGGACATTTTTCTTGCCTGTTACTTATGAGCTTCTTGCAGACTTTACAATTGATACCTGTTCCTTGAGCAGGACAGAGCTGTTTCTCTGAGCTATCTCGTGGGAAAGCAAAAGGCAAATAAGGAGGCACTGAAGATCCTAGCCCAGAGCAATGGTAGCTTTTGAAAATCACATTTGTCCCATTATCACTGCAATATATGCAGATAGGCAGATAACCAAGGATTAGCTTTCTTCTGAAGCACCCAGACTTTACCCAGAAGCAATAGGATTCATCATTCATTCCCGTATAGCTCAGTTTCCACTCCTGGATCCTCCTCTTCTGACTATAAGGAAGATTACAGAACTACTTTGTTATTCAACCCATGGAAAAACCCTGTCAATGCCTCTTCTACTTGGTAGCTAAGCCTCCCAGGATAGTTGCATCTCTTAAATCTCCCCTGCTGCAGGCTTGAACCCCTGTGTTGAGGGCACAGCTGACAAATGAGAAGAGATGCTGATGGCACTCCAAAGGCTGCAAAAAGCTTGTACTTCATACTGCTGCACAAAGGGCAAAAATGTGAAGGGAAGTGGAAACATTTAACCCGAGGACAGGAAAACTCATGAGAATCTCAGAAACGGCCTGAAGAAAAAAGGAGACAAAGATGTAATTTCCAAAACAATACCCGGAGATCAAAGGAGGCTGATGCGCTTTCAAACACTGTTTGTGCTGGATCTGCAAGGAAAGGTTCAAGAACTTGCTGTGAAAAATGCAGAGTATGGCAGAGAAGCAACAGACCCTGAAGATTTTTTCTTGTCTCTTTTCCCTGCCATTGCCCTCTCCACGACTGATTTGGCCACACTGAGAGAAATGTCACCATTCACTTTAAATTGCCTTTAAATTGAGCAGAGATGAAACAGTTCTACCCTCTGATATAATCATGTGCCATGGACGTTCTCCTTACTTATTATCTAAACTGCATTGTTTTCTCCTTTATTGCTAGACCTAGTTGAGTGCACACTTTCCCTCTCAGCTCTGTTCATCATATCCTGATTGATTTTATTGAGTTTGGCCAATTTATGTCAAAGCTAATAAATAAGTAGAAATATAAAAATGTTCTGTGCTGACGCTTTCATATGGTCATTTCAATTTTCCATTAATTATATTTAATTATGGAGTTTTATTTGAAATAGTTTTAAAAGCTAGGAAATCAACCTTTCTCGTTGTTTAAAGAAGAATATCCAACCTGCAGTGAGCTTTTTTTTTCTTACTTATCTCAATAATTGCAGTGTGTTTTATGCCACTTCATATGGTTTCTGTCAAATTAAAAAGATGCTCTCCCTTGTTTAGGTGATCAGTCTAACATTTGTAGTCATTCTCTGTGCTTTCTTACAACTTTACGATTCAGTACACATGCTCTGAAAAAATTTTGTTTTTTCACAGGTGACAAACAGTGCCAGGGTTATATACAGTGAGTAACCAGGATTCCAGAAAATGGTGGGCAAAGGAAAAGGACACAAGTAAAACCAGACCAGTATAAAAAGCCTGAACTTGGTTCTTGCCCTTCCTGCTTGATGCAGGAGGGTGAAGTGATCTGATATAAAAAAAGAAGGTTAGTAAGCCAGTGTGCCAAAGTAGAAATACCCAAGCACTTCAAGGCAGTTCATAAGGGGCAGGGTTAATGCAGGTTAAAGGTAAAAGAACTTCTGCCTTAATAATTTTTGTCTGCTTCTAACAGGGCCAGGACAATTTTCATTAACTTACCGGGCTAGGGAATCTGGATTGCCAGCTGTTTGGACAGGTAGTTTCCTTTTTCTCTTACAAAAAGATTAGTAGTGAAACTTTTGGAATTCAAACTATCATTATATTTACGCTGCTCCTTGATGTTTAAAGAAAGAACACTTCAATGTTTTTATTAAGGCTGAGAGGATGGTCAGGAGAAGCCAGTATTTTGTACATTAGATTGTCTTCTCTGTATAAAGTTGTATTTCATACAATATATTGTCTTCTCATTAGTGGAAATCAATCTTCAGTGTTACTTAAAATCTTCCATAAGTTAGTGGAAAATGGCCTAATATGGGTTGCTGTGGACTGCTGTGCCTTATTAGTTCTTTAGACCTACACAGCACTTTATTGCACCTAGTGAAAATGGGGTAAAAGAGTCTTATTTAGTTATTTCTTTCTGTTCCCATTTTATCTGTTGCCTGGAATGACAGTCCCTTTGGCTGCCTCTTGCCCTGGACTTCTTCCAAGAAATCTGCACATTCCTTACTGAAGGGATTCAAGGGAACTTGCACCTCCAGGGTGGTGATTTACTTTTCTTCTCCAAGATTTCTTCAAGAATGACACTGTTCAATGGACAAGAGCAGCTCATGCCAGGGTGGGGATTCACATATCCCTGCATAAATCAGAGCAGCTGAATGCACACCTCTGTTGCCTCTCACTCTAGTACTGAGAAAGCTTCCCAGGGCTGATTAGTCATTTGAGTGAAGTGCAATAAATGTCAGAGAAACAAATTAAAACACAACCTTGCTGAGTGTGAGGCATAGCTGCTCTCTAGTGGACTTGTGAATAGTGTCAGCAGCTCTGAGTACACTTATCCCCAGAAAATAATAATACAGATATTCTGCTGAGAGATAGAAGGTGAAAACTCCCTACACCTGTGAGTTCAGCTGCCTCTTCTCTCTTTGTGGCTGACTTAGACCAGAGCTACAGTGAAAAAACAATTCAGAAGCACCTTTAAAAGCTATCTCCTGTCCAGTGCTGTGGAGGGACAATATTTCATTGTCTCTGTGTTGTGGGTTTGTTTGCAGAGGACACTGTTTCCACTCAGCATCCTGAGAGTGACAAGTATCTTAGAGCTAAGGGAAACTGTTTTATCAGAAAAGAGGGAAGTGTTCAAAGTACAAGTGCTTATTTCCTGAGGCAGCATGGAAAGCAGAGGGAAAAATATCTGCTGCACAAAGGACCTTCACTTTTGGGAACATTAGATCTTTTTGGGCTTTCTCAGGGGGAAAGTGAATGATTTCTGTGGGGTTGAGTTTAAGTAAGTGCATGCACACAGAGGGCCTTGGGAAGGCAGGTTCTGCCCAGCACGGTCTGGGGCTGGATGTTGTATGGAGCAGTGCTCCCTGACCTTCCCAGCAGCTGCTATTCCTGACCTTCCCAGCAGCTGCACTGACTCACTGTTCAGCCTGCTCTCCACTACATTTCAAGGAATTCTCCTACAAAATGCTCCAAGAAATGGTCTTCTGCCTGTGTTGATTCATTGAAAGATAATATTTAAAAGAATTTGAGAACAAGTGTATCAGTCACAATCTTTTTTTGCAATAATTTCAGCAAAAATCAGTGACATATTTCATAAACAGCCCCTGAAATACCTTAGGGACCAAATAACATGAGTCAAACCCACTAAAGGTTTATTGGAGGGACTGAAAAATTAGTCTTTAATACTATAACCAAAATTAAGTGTGCAGCAAATTGCCTTCTGGAGAGAGCCTTGGTGCTGTGCAAGAATTGTTCCACCACAGACAAAGCACTGGTATGTTTGTGAGTGTATTTTAGCCACAAATCCAAACAACAGCCCCAATGGCACTGCTGTGAGGAAAGGCAACTCCATCTTTGCTGGAACTGGGACACTCAGAGTGATAAAACTGGTTTGATTGTGGATTCTCTGGTTACACTAAATCATATTCATTCTTTTCTGGCAGGGACAAAGTCCATGATTTCTCAGTGTTAATTTGTTGCTCATGAATAATTGTTTGCATCTTCCTTTGGGAAGTTCCTGTCTATGTACCTTGAAAGAGGGTATGTGCTTCTGTGCCTGAAGTGAGGAGCTAAACTAAGAGTCTGGAAGGGCTTCCACCTCTGCAGAGCAGAGTATTAAACACCCTCCTTTTACTGGAATTGAGGAAAGACTTTCTTACCTTATTAAGTAAAAAAATCTGGATTTTGTGGTCTGTGTCCCCAAGTAAATGGGTATATTGTCCGTTGTCCCTTCCATTGTGTACATTTGAACATGTGAGGTGCTGATCTTTGGCATTACACAAGCACCTAACCCTTAATATTGCAGTACAGATGATAGCTGTGAATGGGGCATAAATCTGAGTTTTGCTACCCTTATGGACCATCACTTCCATCCTTTAGTGGGAGTGAGGTAATGGTGGTTTAAATGAAAAAGGCTCAAACTTTAAAAATAGGAAGCACCTTTTTGTATCCATAGGGAACTTAACAGGCACATCTGAAGGATCACCTTGATCTGTGAAAATATGTCAGTCTGATCTCTGCAGAGCTGAAAATATGTACATGAAAACTAATATTGTCTATTTCCTTTTTGTTCAGCTTCCTGTATGCAGAGCCCAGGTTGTTTATTCTTGTGAATGATGCAATGGGTTAACGGATAATATGTGGGTTATCAGTAAGGAAATCTGAAGGTATAAGGACCATAACAGTACCTAATGTTTCACTTTGATTAAACTGGTGGAATTCTGTCTAAATGGAACATTGTGAAGGCGTACAGCCTTCATTTCATCAAGAGGATATGGTAGGAAGTAACTCAAAAGACAAATTGTCATATTATTTCTAAATTATTGTCATATTATTTCTAAATTATTAAATGCCTTGAGGGCTTCCAATTCAAAACCCATAGAGTCTTATTGCAAAAGATTTTACAAAATACTTGCAGAGTCCCTCCTTGCTAAGGCTGAGATTTAGGGAGATGTGAGGCTCAGGGGAAAGGTTTGGTGGATT